ATAGTAGTTATAGAATGAATTATTCACTTTTTTCAAAAATTGGTCGCACAAAAGTCTTTCAAACCCTCTATAACATTGTTCCATTACAAAAATACAATTTTATATAGTTATCCAACGTTTTCACGAAACAATAAGGCAATATAAATCATATCAGCTTTTAACATTGGTATATGTGAACATTTCCTGACAGCTTTCGCGTTTGTTTTGAGAAGAAAATTAGTAGTACCAATTTCTCCAGCTTCACAACCATTATAGATTCATACACCTGTCGCAAACAATATTTCATCAGCTTTAATCATTAGCTACAATTTATCAAACTAAAATTAAATTAAAATTTGCATTCAAAATTCATGACATTGTGTGACATCAATAGGTTATTTACTTTTCTGAATATCCAATCACGAGGAGCATCAAAGAGTGACGTTTTGACAACATTGCTTTAGTACAAAGAACAGAATGTCTCAAAAATTCGTGTAATTAATTATTACAAGTACATTTGTAACCACAAACGTTTGAAAAGGGTACATATAGTACATAACACGAAAACTACTTAACGGGTAACTAATATTAGCATTTGAAACGTCTAAATGTAAACCTAATAAATGCTCATTTGGCTTAAATACATATTATCTGCTTTAAATATTTTCTAACAAAAACAATTTTAATCGTTATTCATCATTAAAATCAATCGATTTTAAGTATGAATCAAAGTTGGAAATTTGAAGGAGAACAACTTATAAAAATATATCAAACAATAAAAAATATTTTTAAATCGCAAATCTAAATTTACATTGTACAAAATATATTTCTCATTGCCGTCAGCTTTAAATGCGTTAATATATGGCACATGAAATCCCCAATCCCATTATTTATCATTGAGAACAAAGATGGCAAATCCCTGGAATCTGTCGGAACTCTAACGTACTGTTGCAAAAAAATTATATAATTGAATGTGTGCGTAATATAATAAAAATTAAGATTAATTCATTTTTGAAAGATCGACACAAAATCAGTAAGGAAATACCGCTTATCTAATAGCGCCAATTAAGTTAATAAATTACTCTTTACTTATCTCATTGAATTATGAACATGATTGTTACACAACTCTACAGTTGATATAAAACTTTCTTGAAGTTATCATCTTCATCTATTCTCTATCCTTGCATGATATGTAAAGGAAATAGTAAATTACATCCAAAGTGCACAGAGGAATGTAATACAAATCGAAACTTCTTTACTTCCTCCGGTCTCCGTAATTTGTGGGTTAGAGAGAAAAATGTTTATTGCCTTGTGTCATCGCGTTTTGTAAAAAAATTGGGGGTGTTTTCCTTCACACACAATAACATACTTCATACTTTAAAAAAATTAGAACATTTATAATATAATGTCTTTTCAATATGTTTTACGTAAATATCGATCGTACATTGAAAATAATTAAATCACAAAATTTCACAAAATATTTATGCACTCACTGTATTGTGAATTAGAGACAAAAGAGAAGATTCTTCGACACACAATAGACACATCCCGAAGTCGATCTCTAGACCTCTGGTTTAGAGTTCTATCAAGCAACAAATCTCATTTCGTTGAAACCCTGCAAACGAGTGGGGCGTTGATAAAACAAAGTTTAAACTATTCCTGACAGAAGGCAATCGCTCACGCCTGCGCACAATGGCTAGGGAAGTGTCAAGGGCCGTAGGAGAAGGACGAGCAGATTGGCGAGGTCGGGGCTTAGGAGGTGGGAGTGGCGGAGGATTGACGTCCAAACGAAGAGACAGTTGACCGGATGAGAAAAATTGATGACTGACAAAATTAAAAGAAAAAATATACAATAGGAAAGGAAGAGACTAAAAGTAGAGGAAATGAGTAAATTAAAAAGACAAAAGTTAAGTTGGAATAAGAGAAACGGTGAGATATTTAGTGAGTTAAATTTCGTGAACTTTCGGCATGACGGATTTAAATAAAGAATTCATAGGTAATAGTTTAATTTACCCTTGAGCATAATACCATAAATGAATCATAAAGACAGTTTTTTCGATATATGCAATATATCGAAATCAATAGATTATATGTAATTATTTGAGGAAGAAATTCACAACTCTAAGAATCTTTGCAATACAAGTAAATAGGGAACGAAAAATCCTGGAAATCCGCAAAGGGAGGGATAAATTACCTAACTTCAATACATTAAATCTCACGTACAGAGTCAAGATATAAGAAAAGAATACATTTAAATAAATTCTCTTATACGAAGAGAACGGTAAGAGAAGAATATTTTATCGTTGAAGAGTCTTCACCGAGTTCAGTGTTTTACATTATTAGGATGGAAATCCGTGTGATAGATGTTAATCCCAGAGTGAACATAAGGAGAGTGAAAATGGAAGCTGGTAAGATTACTTTAGAGAAACACAAACAACAGAGAAAGAACTCATAACACGGGATCAAAGAAATGTAGGTGTCAATTTGTTTGAGAAATCAACTATTGCAAAAATCTTTTGTAAATATGGAGTCAGTACTTTCAGAGTTTTCTTTTCTGACCGCATTTTGCTATCATTCAACTGTTTTCGCAGTAGTAAATAAATCATCATTTAATTATTCAGTGTATTTAAGTAACTCTCGCCGCTATTGTTTCTTATTTACGATTAAGTCAATTCAAGACGAGAAAAAAAATTGTAGCAATAATTTCTGCGAGTCGGGGCAGAACAGCAATACGAGAAGATGACACAAAGAGTCAGAATTCGATAAAATCGATGAAGGGAGATATTGCCTAAAGATATAGAGAGTATGTGATGTTGGAAATGTAGGTGAAACAACTTTTATTATTGATGAAAAATATAAGGAAATTACGCCATGATCAAATGGAGAATTCTACGTACCCCGAAATGTGGAAGTAACGGATTTCCTGGGATCAAAAAAGTGAAATAACGCTTAGAGTAACAATATTACTCGCAGTGGATTGCTCACAAGATAAACGATAACTGCCATGAGAGCAATTTAAACACGTCAATTTTCGTGGAAGGAAAAAGGCAAGACAAAATGCGCAGCATAAATCATACGTTATGACGAAAACAAAAACCGCAATTCGTCCAATACGGTGGCGGCAGGATGAAGCATATGGAGATCGAGAAATGACGGGATTGGCTGACAGATATGTGATGCCTCGTACGCCCCGCTCAGGGAAGTGGGGGACGGAAAGGGGCCGGGATCAACCGGGCCAAATTCGACCGAACCCAAAAGAGATAGTGTCGGTTGCTGCATCCGAGGGAAATAGTTGCGCCGCGAATCCGCAACAAGTCAAGAGACCAGCGAGCGTTCGGGGGCAGAAACAACTGTCTGCCTCTCTCGGACGTTAACAAATCGCGGGTTCCGAGCCGACACTGCAGCCACCAACTCCGGCTGCCCC